TTTTGTGTGTGTGTGTGTGTGTGTGTGTGTGTGTGTGTGTGTGTGTGTGTGTGTGTGTGTGTGTGTGTGTGTGTGTGTGTGTGGACTTGACCACATGCTGCAGAGCCTCATTCTGCTGCTGCAGCTAGCATAGCACAGAGTGACACCGGCTCTCTGACACACACCTGTAAATAAAGCTGAGAATCTTAGAGCTCAGTCCTGCCTTTTTCATTTCCTCACGAGGTATTGGTGTCGATGAGCTTACATAACGATGCTCGAGGTATTCATACGCCTGGAAAGGGTGTTAGTGAGTTGAAGCCCCAAGGTATTTTGAGTGCAGAACCATCTCCACAGATGCCCTATAGATGTGGAAAGACAGAGAGCAGTGCCGGTCTTGTAAAAAAAATCCACATTGATCTCTTTGGTCGTGCTGATGTTGATGAGGTTTGTCTCTCTACACCATTTTTTGGGGGGGCTTGAGTAGATAAGCACCACTGCTGCCATATCACCTGTAAGCCTCACTATGAGATTGCTTGAGCTGTGAGCTTTGCAGCAACATGTAAGCAGTAGGTAAAATAATGGGCTGAGAACACAACCATGGGATGAGTCAGTGTGGAGGGGTATGGACTAGGATGTGGAATTACTGATTCTGACAGTCTTGAGTTGAGTTTTTTTTGGACGATCATATCGAAGGCTGAATTGAAGTCTTAAAGCAGCAACCTTGTGTAGGATTGTTTGTTTTTTAAAGTGTGTGAGGGCCCAATGAGTCACAGCAGGGATGTGGAACATCATCTACTGTACCTGTAAACTTGTTGGTGTGGGTCTTTGCTCAGATCATCATCATCAGCAACTGGAAGCACTTCGTTTTTACTGGGGTGGCTGCAGCTGGGCAGTAGTTTTTAGAGCTGGACACTGTTTGGGTGTTTGGCACTGAGACAATGGTAGCTGGCTTGAGGCACCTTGATGCTGTAGCCAGGGACAGCGAGGTGTTATGTCCTTCAGAATCTCAGAATGCTGTCATGCACAGTCCCCGAGGACCTTGTCTGAGATCCCACAGGACCCACACCTATGTGGGTGTTGACCTTCAACAGTCCCCTCACCTCTGCTTCTGTCACACAGAAGCTCTGCTGGTTTGATGATGATAAAACTTTCTTTTTTATTATTTTTACTTTTACAACAAAGTGTTTGATCTGAATGACGGTATCAGTTACTAATAGAACAGCCATGCCTTTTTTCCCCATGGTCAATTAAGCATCATCCTATTTGCATACTGAGAGGTTATATGAATGATGAATAGTGAAGTCAAGATAACAGCCTACAATTTATTAGATGCACAGTGAACCCTGTGCAGTATTTTGCGTAGCTGTAAATTTTGTATGCTAAACATCAGTGCATTTTTTTCTCATTGAACGTCACAAATCCTTTTTTCTCTTCATATTAAAGCTTTTCAAAGCAAAATACTGCACAGAAGTGGGAAAAAGAGGGACATGCCTGAGAGTTTTGCAAACGTGTTTGAAATAACAGGTTAAAGGTGATAAAAAGTCTGAATGTATCTCTTTAGTAACATACATTCTAACATGTTTGCTGAGAAATGAGTGTTTCTTGCCCAAATATTTTTATAATGCCCGATGAGGTGAGGAATMTTTTATCACAGTCAACAACCACTTACACCATATTGATTTATTATCATTCATTTTCCAAGTTAATGTGTTTGATCTCTGAATAGCTCACTCTGGTCTGGTCTTTTTTTCCTAATTATTAAAGAAAATGAATTACTTTGAAGTTATGTAACACTCCAATGTACCTTGGAGTTCAGGTTCTTCTAAAATTCAAAGTACACTGGAGTCATTTTCTTTTCAAGCCTTTTAGATGAACAAGCCCACACAGCTACATTGATACAGTAGCTGTCAAAATATGTTTAGAATCAAACACAAAAGAGGAGGGGTGAGGGATGATTGAACACTCTTATTGGCCTGTCACCCTGCCACTGCCACCCCCATATTTCTCTGTCTTTCTCCTTCGCATGAATACTAACCAGGCTTAAAACCTCGATGAAAGAAATAGATCACTCGTGTAGGCTGCACTGACCCAGATAAGGGCCTCACAAGTCTGAGACCTCATTGTAATTAACTTTTGTCAAAGTGATTAATCATACGTCCATAGAGGCACCAACAACTTGTGAAGTTGAGCTGGAATGTTTTAGAAAATAAAAAAGGACCAAATGTCCAGTCCATTAATGACTTTGATCAATACATTAAACATGGAAATATTCCAACTCAAAACTCATACTAACAAAACACAGCTTGCATCTAGAGCTCATAGATACTTCAACTCAGACTGTAGGTCCAGGAACACGAGGTTGTCTCCTGGTTTAGTTGAAGGACCATAYAAATCAGCACATTTTGATGATACAGTTTAAGGTCAGTTGTTCATTCTGAGTTTTGTGGCCTAATGTATGATTGTTCTTTTTGCAACCCATTCTCACTCCAAACTCATCACACATTGAAGCTTGGTCGGGAACCATCTGCGTCCAGTCATGCCATGATGCAGTTTACTTGGCATCTGAAAATACATTTTATCAAAGGTATTTTGAATCTGAACAGAGCTTCACTGAGTGAGAAGTGTTAGGAGCTCAGCAGACAGTTTCAGTTTCAGTTTCAGCTGAGAGCCTGCAGGAGTCATGG